CTTTCAATCTCCTCTGTTGATTTCAGTTGCTGTTGGGCAGATTTTTACAAGAGGGCACTTCTTGTCGAATCCATTCATGATGTGGAAGTTACCAAACTCTCTCACTCTTTCATATGCTCTGGTTATATGAAAGACTAATCAAACTACAATATTGTACTAGCGTTTCCCATGTATTTCTTTTGCTGAATTATACTGGCTAGTACTGTCCATGCAATCCTATTTCAAATATATTCAATGTTTTTCTCTGGAATTCTCAACAATTGCATGGATGTAACTTCACTTTCTATTACAATTTTTTTTATACCCCCCTGAGAATATCTTCCTCTTGTCCAAAGGAGCTTTGAAATTCTGTGCCACCTTTGTGGAATAAAAGTCACAAAGAAGGAAAAGAAGAAGAAAAAAAGCCCAATACATCCCAACAGAAAAAAAAAAAAAAAGGAAAAGTGCTATATAGCTATTTTCTGCCCTGAAATGTGTTCTACATTTTTAATAAGATCCCAGATTGTCTGTAGCAGTGGCCACCTTTATTATTACTATTATTTTACAAGGAGTGAATGCCTTTGCTTCTGTTGCACACGTGCACATTTACTACCTTTTAATGGCTTGTTTAAATTAAATAACACAGTGCACTTAAAATTCTGGGAGTCTTATTATCTCATTGAGATGCTGCCGCTCTTTTTGTATTGTGACAGAAACCCCTTGGTCAAATTGTATCTGTCTCTTTTTATCCCATTTTTACCAGTAGATAATGTTGCGATGAAAGATCCTCCGGACTTATTGGACAGGCAGAAATGCCTGGAGGCCTTGGCGTCTCTGCGGCACGCCAAATGGTTTCAGGTTGGCTATTTGTTCTTACCTTGTTGTTATTGTAGCCTTACGAGGTTTAATTTGAGACACTTTTAATTTTAATGCCTCTTTAATTTCTGACTAGTCCCTCCTAGAGCAAAGGTCTAGAATTCCGACCCCAGTGCTGTACCGTGCGAGGGCACACGTGGCAGGGAGACAGCCAGCTGGTCCAGAGTTGTCATGAGGCTACAAAAGCAATCTTGACATTTCGCTTCCTTTTTTTATATGTCCCTCTAAATTCAAGTCTTGTACTTTTATAGAAGTGTTTTTATTTTGCATGAAGCTGATTAAGCATTAAGTAATAATAATTTAAAAAAAAAAAAATCTATCCCAGGACTCTGTGCATTTAAAAAGAAAAGCAAAATTGAAGGCCAGGCTTTTGCAGGTGTATTGGAATCATTTTGTTTGTTTTAGGCCAGGGCAAATGGACTAAAATCATGTGTAATTGTCCTTCGTATTCTGCGGGATTTGTGCAACAGAGTCCCCACATGGGCACCACTGAAAGGCTGGGTAAGTACAGAAAGAGCTGAAGGCCACAAGGTCCGGTCTCAGATCTCCTGAGACTTGTAGCAATGTCTGGACTGGAGAGAGCAGTGTCCTCTATGAGACTCCTCCTTAAACACCTTACCCTTTTCTCCCTGTGTAGGGAAACAAAGGAGAGTATTCCTTCAGTCTGTCACGTGTACTGATGCCATGGAAGGACACACACTGCTGTGGGCCTCACGCAGCCCTGAGCGTTTGCAAGAGAATCCCACTCATTGCCTTCAGTCCCTCTTGCTTAGCTTTCCAAAAGAACCCTGCTCCCATGACAGTGCCCCTCCTGCCAGCAGCTCTTACCCTTCCAGAGGGGCAGGTTTGCTCTCGTGCCCAGAGAGGAACACTCTGTAGGTCAGTGGTGATGGTGTTTCTCTCTGAAAACCCTCTGAGAGGCAGAGAACACTCACCTGACCTGGCCTGAGAGGCTCCTCCTTTTCAACTTCCTGGGCAGACAGCAGAAAGCAGTTGGTGTCTTCTGAAGGCAGCTCAGAGCAGGGGACAAAGACGTGTGCCATGAATGAGGATGTGGCCTCCTCTGGGATGGGCCTGTCCATTAGACCTGTAGTGGATTAAAAATGAGTCACCTGATGTGAATGTTCTTCCCCTCTGCCCCCCATATTTAACTGCAGTCACAGTTACCCTTGTGTCCATACTAATCGTAATTTAATGTCTTCTAGCCACTCGAGCTTATATGTGAAAAATCTATAGGTACTTGTAATAGACCTTTGGGCGCTGGGGAAGCGTTGCGACGAGTCATGGAGTGTTTGGCATCTGGAATTCTGCTTCCCGGTAAGGGGCCAAATGAACTCCAGGAACACAAGGGGTTGATCAGCCAGCTTTAAATTTAGCTCTTGCTGTAGGATTAGATGAGAAATGCCTGCCTTGAACTCTGAATCTGCTGTGGAGTGAAACTAATGGTTTCTTGTGTAAAATTAAAATAAAAAAAAAAGGAGGTTGCATGGTGGTCACTGTGTGAATGAATACTGCCACTGCAGGAGAGGTTAATGGGGGACGAAAGGAATGTGTGTAAATTAACCCCGATCTCATTAAGAGGTTACAAATAAATAGACTACGTAGCTGTCCAAATTATTTGGATTTTTTTATTTTTAAACCTACTGCTTTCAGTTCATGTTATCACACACGTGCAGCGTTACCCTGCTAAGTTCTCTGGCCAGTACTGCAAGGATTAAAACCTCGGGGTCAGCTTGCTCTGTATGAGGTCTGACTCCCTGCTGGAGAAGGTGTGCTCCCCACTCTGCAGCAGCCAGTCCCAGCCTTCAGCATTCCCTGTCAGCCCCTGTTTCCATATTGCTTCTCTTTCCTCCCAGTAATCCCTCTGCCTCTCTCTCCCCGCCAGGAGGGCCGGGTCTGCACGACCCCTGCGAGCGCGAGCCCACGGACGCTTTGTCTGACATGACAGTGCAGCAAAAAGAAGCCATTACACACAGTGCCCAGGTAGGACACCCTGCAGATGGACTGCAGCAGGGAGAGCAGCTCATCAGCACCAGTTCTCCTCTGCCAGGGGAACTTATTCCATGGCAGTCCTGGCAGTTCCTGTGGGGTGCTACCCTGGCCAGGTTAATCCCCAGTTCAGGAGTGCAGGAGTTCAGTGTGTGTGAGTCCCCTCAGGCAGTGGGATGCCTGTGCCCTGCTCACATCCCACCTCGGTGCCCGTGGCACAGAGCCCTAGGTGGGCTCCCCTCAGGGAGGTGCTGCCCCCGCACCCTGTGTGCCAGGAATTAACCAGTTGTACGTTTTTGGACAGTGGCATTCTCCCCAGCTGGAGAAGCTGCCTCCTCAGAGGAGGGGGTTTGTGTCTACAGACTTATCTACAAACTTGGCCAGCTGATGTGCAGTCCTGCTGGGATGTAACCCCTGTTTCTCCTCTCCCCCTGCAGCATGCCCTCAGACTATCAGCCTTTGGGCAGATCTATAAGGTGTTGGAAATGGATCCCCTCCCATCCAATAAGTCATTTCAGAAATATTCCTGGTCAGTAACTGACAAAGAAGGTAGGTGTCATTTGTTCCAAAAATCACTGATTGGGCAGTAAACTAGGGGCTAATTTAGAATGGGTGAAGTTCCTCAGTTATGTGCTGTGAATGTGAAGTAGAGGCTTTTCTTGGTGTTATATGTGGGGTGATTTTTTTAAAAAATATTTCATAGTTAGGAGAAAATCTGGAATTTCTGTTCTCTAGAAATACCAAGAGAGGAGTAGGGGTACTGCTACAATATAGCTGATGAATTTCTTTAAGCAGAAAGAAGAGCAGAAGTAGTGTTTGATTCTTATGCTGGGAAGTAAAGACTGTAAACTGTCAAAAAGCATATAATGAGTGTCCATAATAAGAATTACCCAAGGATTCTTCCTAGAAAACAATATACATCTAATAAGAATAAATTTCCACTTGTATTTTTTGTAAAAACAATACTGGTGGAGTTCTTGCCTTAAGAGTAACTGTGGAAAACAGCCCTGCAGGTTTGCAGGGCTTGTCTCCCACCTGATATTGGCCACAGACGTCCTGCCTGGCCTGGTGCACTGAGCAGTAAACCAATATTGGCTTCTGTGCAGCAATAAGAGAGCTGTGACTGATGGATGAGCTCTTGTCACTATAAACAAGCAAGGAACCGTGTGGGACTAATCAGACTCCTGCTGTGGAATGTTGTTTTTCTAATGGCATATCCATATTACAAGGAACTTTATACCCCAGGTACAGGCTCGTCTGCTCTGAAGAGACCCTTTGAAGACAGTGTCGGGGATGACAAGGATCCAAATAAAAAGATGAAGCGTAATCTGAGGAAAAGTAAGTGCAGCACTTCTCCATTCTGTTTTCAAAGATCTATTGTACAGGGGGAGCTGCTTTAAAAGCTTCTCTGTGTTGGTGTGGTAGAGCATGTGAAAAAGTCTTTGGAACAAAAAGATGTTGTCTCTATCACCCTGCATTTGGAATGTCAAACACATCTCTTACTGTGCATCTAAATTTCCCCTGACATGTTTTACTAACTGAATGATTTGCATTTTTAACTGGGATTACCCATCAAGTTAGACTAGAATTGAAGTTGTCCAAGCAGCTGAGGGATTTTATTGATAATGTCCCTATACTGTGGGTTTTTCAAAGTACAGCACTGACTTTGCTGAGTGAAGACTGGACTCTGCATTATTACCCTTCTTGGTCTCCCAAGACCTCCCACAAAAAAAAATAAAATGTTTGATCTACAAAACGTTGATGTTGCATATAGGCACAGACTGGAAGTCTCTTGGCATTGCTGGGATCCAGTCCTGGGGGCCATTTGCATTGTGCTACCTGGGTGCCAGCTCTGGACCTTGTTCCCCACTACCTATAAAACTTGTTACTCCTTTTATAGCAGCCAGGAAGAGTACAGCTAGCTGCAAAAGAGTTGTGTTAATATAAAAACCGGGTAATTATAGTTGCTACTCCAAATTAGACTTGTTAAATAATATAGTTTATATTAAATATTATAGTTTATATTAAATGATATAATTAATCTTATTAAAGCCTTGACAGCATTATGGCTCTCCTCAACCTCTGAGAGGCCAAGGGGTGGTTTTGCTCCTTGATACAAACAGAAGGCACTGAAATGCAAACTGTTTCATTTTTCTGTTCATCTTGTTTTGTTCATTTTCCTTCCCCCTCCTTCCCCCACCCTTTCTACTATCTTGTACTAGTACTAGATAGTAAAGCAATAGATCTCATGAATGCTCTGATGAGGCTGAACCAAATCAGGCCAGGGCTTCAGTATAAGCTGCTGTCACAGTCTGGTCCAGTCCATGCCCCAGTCTTCACAATGTCTGTAGATGTTGATGGTACGACTTATGAAGCATCAGGACCTTCTAAGAAAACAGCCAAGCTCCATGTGGCAGTGAAGGTAAGGCAGCCTCAAGTAATCTGCTAACCCCAGATCTTGGGACAGAGTATGAAATGTGGATAGAACTAGTAATATGAAACCTCAAAATTAAAAAAACACTGGATGAAGCTGAGCTGCTTCCTGTGTGCTTTAAACACGGCTGGGCATGGTTCAAAGAGCATCACTGGTTTTGTGCTGTCGGGGGGCAGAACTTCCCAGGGCTCTGCAGGTCAGCTCATGTTGCAATGGACTGAATGTGGTGGTCAAGTCCTGGATGGGGGGATTCAGTTGAGTTCTGTTCTATTCCTTCCTATGTTGGTTTGGAAACAGCATGCTGGGGGCTCCCTCTTTCTCCCCTTCCTTCTGTCCATTCCTGGCTTGTGAGCACCTGGAAAGATGGAGTTGTTTCCTGGCCTCAGTGTCTGAAAGAGTACCTTTGTGTACTGGGAGGAGCAGTGGATGTAAATGATGGGTCTCCAGTCAAATTTCCACTAGGACTGTGGTCTCATTCTGGGACGAGTCAACCTGCTGTTCTTCTTGGGGGTGCTCTACATGACAGCAGTGGCAGACTGGAACACCCAGTGTGAGCATCCCCCACATGTGGTGCTTGGGGACGTGGTTCAGTGGGGGCTTGGCAGGGCTGGGGTAACCAGTGGTTGGATTCGATGATCTTACAGGTCTTTTCCAACCTAAACAGTTCTGTGAAAGAACCTCTGTTAACAGAACTGCACCTCTGACAGGAACAGGCCCATCTGTCGTTCTGTGCTTTGTTTTGTTTTGAACAAGAATTTCCTTTTCAGAAGCTTCATCTGGCAACTTTCTGCTTTCCTTTGACTTCAGTTTTCAAAATCCCATTGTCCTATGTGCTTTCAAGTTCAAAGTGTCCAGAAGTATCTGAGGGCATGTGTTGTTCCTCCAGGAAAAGTAGCTCTCTGCATGTGTGTCCTTCCAGACCTTCTGCCTTATTCTTTTTATTTTGCCTCCCTCCCTGCAATTGTTAAAAAAAAGGCCCCAAAAACCCACTTGCCCTGAAAATCTGTGACTGCTCTGCCCTTGAACCTCTCTGCATCAGCCAGATCTGTGCTGGTGCCGACCCAGCTCCGTTTTCTCTAAATTTACACATCAAAACATCCACGATTCAAGCCAAGAGGAAATGGGTGGTGTGGTAGAGACTTGCTGGTTTTCTGTCTTTCCTTTCCTAGCAGATCCAGGCCCTGCCTTCCCACTCTTATAAGAGGGAATAATGTGACCATTTCACTTTCTAATCTGACCTCTTTAAAATGCAGAAGCCCTGAAAATGCAACCAGATGTTCCCCGATGGCATAGGAGCTGAGCCTGGGGTTACCTGTGCAGTTCTCAGCTGAGGGTTGGAACAAAGTGATTTTTGCAGACTTTGTTCTTGGGACTAAATTTTCAGCAGAGCTTCAGGTTCCTCTCAGATTCCTTTATTCTGGTAGCTCTGCACGGCTGGGTCAGGAAGCTGGTGAAGGGAGAGGCTGGCCTTGCTAGTGGAGCATGTTTTTGAAGGAACTGAGCTCCAGAAGTACCATCTTGTACAAGGTTTTAATACTCACAAGACTGTTTGCATTGTTTGCCCCACAGTCCATCTCCTGATCTGTCCATAGACACAGAGAGGGGAAACATCATGTGTGACTGGGCTTTTAAACAGTTCTTTAATCTCTTATTTTACAAGGAATTCTCGAGATGCTCATGATGCTCATGAGTAATTGCTGTCTTTGAGACTAAAATTCTTGTTTGTGTTGATTCCACTTCTGGAAACCTGGAATTATTTTCCCCATTGATACTGTATTCCCCACTGATATCCATTGAAATGGTTATGTCCATTTCAAATAGGAGAAAACTAACATTCTAAGCAATCTGCTTGTATTAAGTGTATGGTGGATGTTTTTTGGTGTTGTGATCAGCTTTGTATTTGTTCCTGTCCCGCTGCCTCTGTCACAGTTCATTTCCTGGGGCTTTGTTGTAGGTTTTACAAGCCATGGGGTATCCCACTGGTTTTGATGCAGATGCGGAGTGTGTGAGTTCTGATGAAAAATCAGATACTGAAGGTAAAAATGAAACTACGTCTTCAATCTCAAGCAATAATACTGGAAATTCCACAGCGGACACCTCTGCTACCCTAGAGGTGAGGATTGCCTGGAAGGTACAAGTGACAGAGAGATGTGGGCTTTGGGTTTTTGCTTTTTACTGTTTTTTTTTCCTGTTCTTCTACTTGTCAAGATATTAAAACATGAATTTTTTCAGTTGGGAGACACTTAATTTCCAGAGAGTGTGTTATCATGGATAACTCAAATCACATACATGTTTAGTCCACTGAGAAATTTCCAGGGAAAGGGGGTGTTTTAAACCCAACTGCCCTGTTTGTAACCGAGGCTGAGAGCATTCCATTGCAGGCTGATCCGCTGGTGTGCTGAGATCTCAGCTTTACCTTCCTTGCTCTCCAGACAGTAACAGATATTTCTGCTGAAACACGTGACTCAGGGTATGAGACTCCTTCAGTCAGAGCTGGGCAGTGCCAGGCTGTAATTAGACAGAGCAGAGACGTGTGCAGGGTTGGGAAGGCAGTCTGTCCTCTCGGTGATAAAGCCTTCCCTTTCACAGAACTTGACACCACGGCCCCACCTTCAGCTCTGCATTCTCTCAGGGTTGTAGTTCCAAGTTCAGGTTGTGCAGGCACCAGACCGGGCCATGAGGACACTGCCCTCGCCAACAAATGGCTGTGACTTCTTTGACACCATTGTCTGCCCTTCTTCAGACTTCCCACGTGCTCTGCCAGCACAGCACGTCTTGCTGCAGCCAGGGCAGTGTTACCTGGGATACAGGTCTGCGCAGCTTCGGCCGCCTTTTGAAGAGATAAAGGCTCTAAAGTAACACCCTGAATGTCTCTCTAGGTAAGAACTCAGGGTCCCATACTCACAGCAAGTGGCAAAAACCCGGTGATGGAGCTCAATGAAAAGAGAAGAGGTCTCAAGTACGAGCTCATCTCTGAGACCGGGGGGAGCCACGACAAGCGCTTTGTGATGGAGGTGAGTGCAGCAGAGCTGCAGTTGTGGGGGGTTCATTACGTGGGTCAGAGCCCCTTGCTGCTGCAGTTCAGGGTATAGTGCAGGCAGGGATGTTGGTCTGTAAGGCATTGATGAAATCGAGGGGAGCCTCACGGGATTCCTGTCAAGGAAGGCTCCAGGGGATGGGCTAAATCCAGTATCCAATAGATACTGCTCCTCTCTGAATTGCACTTGTGGTTTCCAGATTCCCAGTATATGGGATACACTAGTTCCCAGGATAATCATGGCATCCTTTACCACCTTCATTTCTAGAATGAATGGAAATTTGTCACATAAAACACAAGAGGATTTTTTCCTCCTCAGGTTCTCTGTGGGTGGCACCTCAGCCCAGTGGGTGCAGTATGGTATTCCCAGAGATCAATACTAGGCATAAACTCATGTCTCAATTTTCAGGTAGAAGTAGATGGGCAGAAGTTCAGAGGTGCAGGCCCAAACAAGAAGGTAGCAAAAGCAAGTGCTGCATTAGCAGCACTTGAAAAACTGTTTTCTGGGCCTAATGCAGCAAACAACAAGAAGAAGAAGATTCTTCCTCAGGTAAGAATTGTTACTTGCTTTTTAAACTGCTGTTATCCCAGCTCTGGATTGTTTTTTTGATACAGGAGGCAACATTCTAGTAAAGTAAGGTTAACACAGGCTGCTGTTGTTGTGAGGTGGTTGGTTGTCTTTGGGGTGAAATCCTGGCCTGCTGCAGTGGGTTCAGGAGGGTAAGACAGAAGCCAAGACAGTGCTGTAGGTCGAGGAGAGGAAGCTTGTAAGGAGGTGGGAAAAGAGCAGGGAGGAGCAGCAGAGAGAGGGTCAGAAGCCAGTGATGTTCAGTGCTGACCAAATGTGAGGTAAATAACGGGGTGTGGGTGAGGGAACTGCTGGGCTCTGCAGTCAGTGCCCGGGCAAGGGGCCTGCCATGTTCCTGTCAGTCACAGCCTCCAGCACAGACTGCTCCAGCCCGCGCCCAGCCAGCCTGGCACATCTGGCATGTTAAAGAGCTCTCTGAAAGGGGTCATTTAATGCAGGTGGCCTTGTATTCCAGCAACACTTTCACTCTCTGAATTGCTATTTTTTGTCACTCTGGGCAGACTAAAGGGGTTGTCAATACAGCTGTTTCTGCAGCAGTCCAGGCTGTTCGAGGCAGAGGACGAGGTGCTTTAACACGAGGGGCATTTGTCGGGGCAGCTGCTGCTACTGGATACATAACACCAGGTAAGGCACCACACTCAGAGCTGATACTTTAATTTTTGTCTGCCAGGGCATTCTTTTTCATGTATGTCAGTCACCTGTGTGATTTCTTTAATCATCTGAGATGAAGCAGAAGGCAGAATTCATGGGGCTCTAAATAAATCAAAGAGATGGAAAGCTGGCAGTGCGTGTCCTTTAAAATGAGTGTACAACTTGAAGCTTGGTGTGCACAGAGCACAGTTATGGGCATAATGGCTTTCCTGGCTTTATTATTTTATGATTTGTCTTCTTCATAGTTCACTGCCATGGCACAATTCCCAAAACTCTCTTCCTACCTAAGAACCTCCTGGATCATGTGCTGTTTAGCATTAGGAGTGGCCTTCCCAAGAAACCCTTGTGGACATGAAGTCGGGAGGCTCCAGAGTCCCTGAGCTCCCAGAAACTTTCTAAATGAACTGCACCCGGAAGCATCTATCAGTAGCTTCTGTGGTGGCCAAAAATAAAGGAATTTCTGTTCATACTCTGGCTGATGTGGAATCATGCATTGTTCTGATAGCAGAAACTGCTTTGGAAGTCCAAAGGCTTCTCGTTCCCATTTCACATTTAACCAAGAAAAAGTTAACAAAACGGACACTTTCTCCTTTCCCTTACTTTTCAAAGTGCATTTTCTCTGTGACTCTACAACATGCCTAAGGTTTGCAGATGACAGGGAGGGGAATCCAGACATTGTTTTCACTTGTTTTAAGAACCACAGATTTGTAAGAATGAGATGCTGAAGATGCCTTAGTCAAAGCAAATCCAGTAGCTTCCAGAAAATAACACTTACATTCCTCATGCTCAGGTTTTCAGATTACAGCATGAGCACTAATTACACCCTCCAGCAGCTCAGTGTGCCAACAGCACAGCCCTGTTGTTTGGGAGCCTTCCTTCCTGGCACAGTCAGCAGCCTGCCGTCTTCATTGTTCCTGTATGGTCATGTCATTTTAAATATTAAAAACCAGTAATTCATTTTTAATGGCTGTTAACATTGTTTTTGGAACTGTCTGTCTGCCTGAGGAGTCATTTATGAGACACTTTAACCTGCCAGGGGCATGCTTCTTGCCAGTGTGGAATTACTCCAGAAATAAGTTTAATTTCCCAGTTGCTGCAGTTAAGCTTTTATTGGCCTTGGCCTTCACAGATTATTTCTCTCCATCCTCTATTCTTGTCAGAAATCTCTTGCTTTTTGTGATGACACAAGCAATCTCAACAGAAAAAACCCCTGTAGAGCCTCCATGAACCACTGAGATGTAGTGACCAATGTTGGTGTTATCTCTGTTGCTTTTTTTCTCGCTCCAGAGTCACACTTCGCTCTCTGGGGGAAAACAATCCTGCTCTGTTTATGTGGAGGTGTTCAGGTGTCCTCTGGGGAACTCTGTCTGCGTGAAATGGCAGAGAAAGCAAAATTCACAGGAGCTTTACCAATGGGGATGTGGCATTTGTCACAGGCATCCAGCACTCCCCTCTTTATAATGAAAATTTAGGAAAATGACTATTCTCTGCATAGACTGCACTTGTGTTTTAGGAAGCACATAAACAAATACGGGATGTCTGGGTCATGCCAACTCTGTGCTCTGACAGTGCAGACTTGAGGGATTCAGCTGAAAAGGAAATGCTGAGGAAAGGAAATAGGGAATTTAACACTGATGCTGAGGCTTGAGGCAGTCCCTGGGTAGCTTGTTCTTCAGGCCACTGCCCAGGATGTTGGTGCTTTCCGCAGCACTTCCAGGTGTTGGTGTCTGTCTTTGCTGCAGTCCCCTGCAGGGTGCAGTGCAGGTGTGCCTGACCCCTGTCTGTGTTTCCCTGCAGGCTATGGAGCACCGTATGGGTACAGCACAGCGGCGCCAGCCTACGGTAGGTACACACTGTCAGTAACACCCCGAGCCCGGGCACAACAGGGGGGGCTGTCCACGGGTGCCAGGGCCAGGAGAAACTCAGAGAGATTAAAGCTCTTAAACCATGACAAAACACTCTTATGCCATAACCTTGTGGTTCTTTTTTGGTTGGAGTAGCTTTTTGCCTCTGCTTTGCCTGGTCTGTGGAAGGACTGCTTGTTCTAATTGCCTGTTCCCTTTATACTGGAACCCAGTGGAAGTAGTTCCCTTACTTTTTACAGCCAACCCGTGCTCCATTCAAAGACTACCGAAGGGCCTATTTCAGCATCTCTGACCCACATTTACCTAAGTGGCATTACAGTAACATTGGTGAAATGTTTGTCCCCAAGTGTAAGTGGCTTGTGGACAAATCTCCCTTAATGCTGTCAACTCTGTGAAGGCTATGGGCAAATACACCCCCACAGGCTAAACCACCACTGCTTGGGACAACAGGATGGGTTTGTGTTGCTTGGACTGTTAGTGATCAGACTGAAGGCAGCCAGGACATGGTCATTTGCCACAATACTTTTTACTATGAAACGTGTGATATTAGGCTGGCAAAGCACTGGTTTCATGGAGATTGTAAAATGAGCTGATGACCAGAGAGCTGTGATGGAAGGGTTTTTCTTAACTTGGCTTCTCCCTCCCCACTGGCTTGTTTGACGCTGGACTAACAATGCATTCCTCTAACCGGCCCTTTTGGTTACTTTGAATGAGGTTTATGTGGCAATGGGAGCAGAGCAGTTTGGAGTCAGTGATATGTCCTGGCACACACAACTGAGCCCCCCAGAACCAGTCCCAGCAGCCTGGCCAATGGCAGGGACTGCTCACAGCCTGCTGCTCAAATGGCCAGCACTTTTCAAGGCCTGCACTTTTTCCTATGGGAAACTTTGGCTTTTTAGCATTTGCAGTGCTTATTCCTCCCAAATCTGTGTCAGTTGGGCAATGCCAACTCCCCTGATACTATTATAAAAATTCAGAATATTTTGAAATGTTGATTTCATGACTTTTACAGCAGTACAAGCTCTAAGAAGGGAAGAATGCTGCTGCTTTATGGAAAGTGTTTGTTTTGCCTGACTGGGACCAGCTGGTCCAATTCTGTACTGAAAGGGGATGGAGGATGGGCCCACGGGCTGCACTCAGTGTGGAATTCTCCTCTCAAAACTGGAGCAAACCTCTCCAGTTTTAGACCTGCTGACTGGCCACGTGCTCTGACAGAAGGGCAGCTGACAGCAGCGCTGTCCCATGGAGTGTTGTCCTTTGTGGTGCATCACACAAGGAACAGCTACATGATTCCTCAGGGAAAAATGAAAGGAAATTTAGTTTAGGGTATGGATTTTTAAAAAATCCCCTTGGTTCTTTCCAAGCAACAGTCTCAGAGGATAACCAGGATGAGTGGCATCTGCATGTCTGTATTTTTACAAGCAGTGACACACTGACATGTGGAATCCTTTCCCTGCTGCAGACAGGAATGCAACTGTTACCAAATTTCCTTGCAGCTTTTCTTGCTTTTTTCATTCATTCCTTCTGTTTTGTGGGATTTTCCCTCTTTTTGCCTATTTTGGGAGCTGGATTTTAAGCACTTAGCTGTGTATATGTGACATACCACTGACTTCAAAGCGTTGTGGAATTGGATGCCCCCATTTTTCACATAAAGAGTTTCTGTTCTTAATGTCTTATGATTGTGATGCGAAGTTCTGGGATAATGCTTTTTGGCTGTAAGGTAAACATGTCTCTTTGCCTTTGTAAGCTGTTGCATGTTGGGAAACTTCACTTTGATCATCTGGTGCTCTGGAATACCTGCTGTTGCTGCTTTGTGATTTCTAAATGGATACATAGGTTAAATACTAGAATTTAAATAGGCAAGATTAAAACACCAAACAAACGTTTAATTGTGCAGAAGTTTGTGAGGCCACAAGAACTCTAAAATAATCATGAAATTAGGCAGATGTTAATCTTTCCAGATTTGCCACTTCAATACAGGAGAGGGAATGCAGAATAAGGAAGCAGATGCAGAATTTACTGTAGGTGCTTGATTTTTGGCTGACCTACCTGGATGCTGATCAAAACTGCTGAACAGTTTCCCTGTGAGTTGTATTTTATGCACAGCAGTACCTGTCTAGAATATCTGCAGTTGCAACTGGCCTGTGAAATGAACTCAGAACGAGCTAGTAGAGATTAATTACCATAAAGACCATGAAGTAGAGCTTCAAGTCCAAATACACACTCTGCTTTTGAGAATATCACTTCCTTTAATTTTACCAAACACCAGGACAAAAATAAAAGCAGACTTTAAGCCAACCATCTGTCTGAAATAGTGCAAAGTGGTGAAGTGTTATTGTTCACGGGACTCTGCACCCTGAAATCCCATTGACTGACTGATCTGGAAAAGGTTAATGAGAACACTACTGTAAGCTCTTATCTGACTTTCTTGGATTGCTGAACTTATTTGGAGTCCTCTCCCTTTCTTCTCTCTGTAGGTTTACCCAAGAGAATGGTTCTGTTACCAGTTATGAAATTCCCAACTTACCCCGTTCCCCACTACTCATTCTTTTAGCAAATGGCAGAAGCTAATTCCTATTGATTGAACAACACAGTACAGTACAGAATGTTAGAAGAAAAAAAAGCCTTTTTATCCTGTTTTCTTTGAACACATACTTGAGCAAAGTCATTTGTAAAGAAACATCTTTTTCCTACTTTTTGATTTTAACAAAATGCAAATTTAGTTCTCTAAAACTTGAAAAAAATGTTCTGTGAAATGTTACCTCATTTTCAAATAACTTATACCAGCCTTCTGTTATAGGGAAGAACTAGAAGCTTAAATCTTACGTTTTAAATGAAGTATCCGATTATGTAAAATTAAATTTGTGAAGGATGTATAGAATATAAAACACTGATCACAAATAAACTGTTTTGTTGTAACACAAGAGTACTGCCTGTTTCCTAATGCAGTCACACAGACTCAGTTAATGACCTGTACTTGCTGTAGGGTTATTAAATGCAGGGCATAGTTCTTTAAAAAACAAAAATAAAAATTAAAAAAAAAAAAACAAACCCACATGATAGAAACTTTACAGTTAACATTTAACTTTGTAAATATTATGGTGTGTAATAAACTTAGTAAAATCTGGGTTAAAATATTGTTTTATCTTATTTTTTATAGTTAAGCATCAGTACCTGAGTTTCCTTATAGATCAGCATACTGTAACTGTGACTTTAGACACAGTCTTAATTATCCAAGAAGACTTTTCACTCGTACACAAAATGCTGAAAAACAAACAAAACAAAGGGAATTAATCTTAGGCTGTCTCTGTATAAGGCTGCATTCTGTGAAACAAGTATTAAACAAAGGAAGTTCCCACAGAAGGATTTGTTCTGCAATTCCAGGGACACAAGTTAGGCCCGTATTGCCCAGAGAAAGGACGACACTAATGTTACAATCAGGTTCTCCAGAGCTCAAAAGCTGCTTCTTTTCCTTTCTTTTCTGTTTTTACCAAAAAAAAAGAGGAAAAAAAAGAAAAAAAATTGCACTTGTTCTTGTGGCCTTCTTCACTTTTGAGATTGTCTGCCCACCCTTGATTTTCCATCCACCATTTCTACAGAAAGCATTTTAGTTGTCAATTGTGTATTAAACCAAAGGTTCTCCTTTTCCCCCTTACATTTATAAGAATCTAAAGCAGCAACAAGGTCCCCATGGAAACTTGCTATTTAATTGTCCCAGTTCTTGTTGAGTGCTGCTGTGAAAAGTGACACACTTCAGCCATAGGCCAGTACTTTCTAAGAGTCGGTGCTCAAACCCAAAGAATCCTCTTTTCCATGAGGAGTGTGTGCACCTGTCTGAAATTCCAGGACAGGCCCCAGCTCCACGGTTGGAGTCTCCATGGATTGTGGACTGCTGTGGGCTCTGATGAGGGATTCCAGTGGTCTTTATTAAGGTATCACCCCACGAATCAGCAGCGTTGTTGGTTGCACTCTCTCCTCAGCCCTCGCCCGTTGCTTTTCCATAGGCTGGCTTTAGTTCCTGCTCTTCCAAAGATTTGCCTTTATCCCCTGTTCTCTAACAGACTCTGCTGCTGAGGCAGGGGGAGCTTTGTAAGTGACAAGGGTGTAAAACCAGTGCTTAAAGCAACGTAAAGTTCCTCCTCCCCCACACCCCCTTTAGAGGGAAAGAAATATTAGAAAAGCTGAATAAGGGGTGGCTTACAGAACAAGCTGCTTTCCTTGGAATTAACTGCAGCTGTTATTCTTAAGCTAAGTATTTGTGCTTAGGAATGTGTTTCCATTTCACTGGGTTTCCTTCTGCCGGAGCTCTCCTGCCCTTGGTGCTGGTGGTACTTTAATAAGACGTAGATTCCTGGCCAGGAGGGGCGAGCCTGGCGTGTCCCCCCGCGGCAGCGGGAGCAGAGCAGGGCCTGGGGATGGACCCAAATTGAGGTGCTCAGAAATCACTGATCTGGTTTGCTGGCCTATGGATGAAAGGAAGCCATCACGGAGCAGAAAAAGCATGGCTGATCAGAGCCCATTTTTGTTAATCAAATATTCATTAAAGGAATCTTTCCTCCACACACTTCCCCCCCTCCCCTCCTTTTGGAGTTCCCCTAATTGGCAACTGTTTGTAGTTTCTTTTTTTTTTTTTTTCCTGAATCCCCAGCTTTGTAAAATTTCAAACAAAATATTCTGCGAACCAATTCTATACCATGAACATTCGTAAGCCAAAAACTTGTTCTTATTTCAAAGACAAGAAGGGCGCTATGCTCTTTTCCAACATGATGGCAGTCATTTCAGACGATTTATAGAAGTCATTTTTTACTTTTTGTCATTTGTTGGGAGTTACTAACCACATTGTAAACTTGCCCCCTTGCTGCATATTTTACATTTCTCTGCTTTACTGAAAATATGAATGAGCTGTCAGTTCTTTGTTTAGAAAGTGGTAACCTTGGAAGTGTTAGATGTTTCAATACCTTCAAAGAATTCAAAGTGCCCATTTTACAATGAAAATTCCACTTGCAGCTGAAAGAGCAGAGAAATTTAAATGGAGCTTTAGCCTCAGCCAGTCTCAGCAATTAACGTGAGGTTTTTGCTTCTCTGCTCTTCTCCCACTGTAGGTGGTTTTTTCATTGACAGTCCCTATTGCCAGCCTCTCAGCATCGCACCTTTTATTATTCACTTGGGCCCTCAAGATTTCTTCTCTGACTTCTAGAACCATCAGGTTGTGTGGCTCCAAATGGCATTTTGTACATGTCTTAAAAGCAAGAAAAAACGTGGCTCGTTTTGAGGTTTCTCAACTTCAGACACGGAATCTGAGCTTTTTTTCCTTTTTTTCTTTTTTTTTTTTTTAAAGTGTTTTTCACTTCTTGAACTTTGCTCCATGTAACAAAAAGCAATACTTAGTCCAAGCCACAGTCCTCTCTTTGGGTACATAGCAATAGATGTGTATATACTTCTGGTTATTTCTTTACACTGAAAGGGAAAGACTGGTGTGTCGGGGGGGGAACCAACCACCAAACCAAGGCACAATCCGGGCCGAGTGCTGCTTCAAGCAGTGACATCTGCCTGGACTTCCACTCCTGAAGTCCCTCTGAATTTTAATACTCTGCTGTATTTGCATGTCTCCTATCCAAGTTGCTACAGAGCCGTGCAATGGTCCCTCCTGAAGCAGCACTGCTTTGTACCATTGTGCATGTCAGCAGACATGAAATGTAGCAAAAAGGTAGAAGAAAAAAACAGAATATATATTTTTTTCCAAAATGTAACTAAATGATATCTTCTCTCTCTCTCTTCCCCACATCATTGATATGAGGCACAAAAAGGGTAGGCCTAAACTGGAAAGTCAAGTGGATTGCTTTTGTGTCTCTTAAAAACCATCACCAAATGATAGGAAAACACAGTATTTGGGAAACATCCAGTTCAAAAAACTTTGCTGCTCTAAATTTACTGAGGTTTTTTTCCTCTTGAATATTTGTATGTTGATACTTTGAGATTGTCAATCAGCAATAATTGAAAGGTGAATGTTTTTTTAAATGGTATTGGAACATCTATATGTTGCAGCTTAAGACTTCTAAGCAGTTTTCAGCAGGTTAATTCCACTTTATTCTCATTCTCTCCGGACCTTCATAGCCATATGCACTTGTATAAAATAAGCAGAAATGTAGTGACTGTAAGCTGAGATCCTGATATAAAAGGTAAGAGATTTTATTTTCAGCTTAAAGAATATTTTTATTGCTTTTTTTCTAAGAATCTCATATATCTGTGACAATCTTGTATATGGCGCGTTTTTATTATGTCTTGTTTAACTCGGTGTTTAAAGAGGTAATACATAGGTCTGAATCCCAACTTTGTATTTCTCAAGCCCAATTCAAATACCCCCAGTTAAGAAAGAAAATATTACCTAACACTTTTAAGACATTGTTTGGTTTTATCAACAGACTGTTCTCCTTCAAATATTTTTCTCTTGTGTAGCATAGAAAGCTGTACTGATACTGCTCTGTCAGGCACTGCATCCCCTGCATCCCTGGGGATACCTCTGGGTAGGTACCAAAGCCAGGCTCTGAAGGCCACACCTTGGTTCTGGGGATGTGGGATGGGTGACACTAACGAACCGATAACGAGAGAAATTATTTCCCTAAACTATTCAAGCTAAACTCCAAATTAAGAAGGAAGGACTTTGATGATATTACAGTTAAAATCTGCAGAGATCAAATTACATTAGGCCAAATTAATTCAGGAAGCAGCCAAGTTTGCTTCCCTCCCGCGGGTGCAGAGGAGGGGAGGAGGGCAGGCAGGCAGGGATTTATCTCTGCGTGAATCATTTGCTTAGCTGTGGTTTTCTACAGCTGGAAATCAGGATACAGCCATCCATAAATAATTGTTTTCAGTTCTGTAGTAAATGTTTTAACACATTTGACTTGGATTAAAATGGGTTTGGATTATGACCCATTGGTGCACATGATGTGTAGTTTTAAAATACTATTTTTTTTATTTGCCTTTTAAACCTTGCTTTATGCAAAGTTGCATAGTACAGAACTGCAGAAGTGCAGTACTTGCAGAACTTGAAGTTGCTGGAAACAACTCTTTTTATATAAAAATGCTTAAAAAATAAAAAAGCAAAAGGGAGCAAGTTGATGACGATGTAGCAGCATTTTAGGGTCTCGATTCAGTGATTAAAACATAAAAAACCCTGTGACTGATCACAGTTTATAACAGTATCAAGGAGACTTGGTACAGACTATCTGCATCAAAATTCAAGAGCAAATATAAACTGTTTGATTTTAATACTGAGCCATCAGATTCACTAAATGACTGTGTGTGTAGGTTATCCATAGCTCAGGACATGTGCACAGAATTACAGGCTGATAAAGAGCTGCTGCTCCTGTGGGCAGGAACCTGAGCTCGCAGGTGGCACCTGGGGAACTGAACTTGAGGAGCTGTTGCAGAGGCTGGCCCTGGCAGCACAAACCCCTTCACTGACACTTGCAGGACAGCTGATGAGCCATCAGAACGTCCTTCCCACTCGGGGGTGCAGGTTTCCATCTGTTATCTTCCAGGTACAAACTCGGGGCTGGGTCTGACACTCCCTTAAAACTGGGCTCATTTTTCATCCCACCCGGCCTGGCAGTGCTGATCCCAGAGCAGCAGCTGATCCCAGAGCAGCAGCTGCTGTGCCTCCTTCAGACAGGAGTTTAGATGCATTAAGGTGCATTATAATGAACTTCTCCTGAGTATTCCTTTCCTAACTGCTGTCAGCCTGACAAGCACTGTCCAGTTCAAGGACTGATAATAAACATCTTGCCGACTCTCATTTGATCTGCTTCTTCATGGACTGTGCTTGGCAGGTTAATCCATCTGTGTTTCTTTCCATCAGAATTGCTCTGACTGAATTTCCCTGTTTTTCTGCCATCATCCTTTTAACTCTTGCAATCCTAAGTATTCCACTCTCCTGCTGGTTTTTTTTAATTCTTTGTTAGATCTTTTTTCTCTAAATTTCTCTAAAACACTGTTGTTTGTAATGCAGTACTTATGTCTGAAATGTCCCCTTGCCTGTGCTGCCTCCCTTCACAGTCAGAGAGAACCTTTTCCTGACATGTGAAACAGGGTACTTAAGACTCCTGAATCCTGGGTTCTGCAGCCACTTGGAATCAGAGATCAGACCCAAGAGTGCAGGATTGCCTGGGAACCCCTCTCACTGAGCAAAATAGCCCCATGTATTGAAGGGTCACAGAGTAGGCTTGAAAACGCCTCCTGATGCTCTGGCATTTGAGAGAGCAGCCAAATTCTATCAGTAGGTTTTAACCTAACTGAAGTATCAGGCTATTATCTGATGAGTAATTTGGGTAACATCTGCTTCATCAGTGTTGCAACAAGCATGTTTTGCCACGGCAGACCTAGAAACTCTTTTTTGCACAATACTTGTGGGTTTCCTCTGAAAAGCCTCCTCACAGCAGCGTGGTTTGAAGTGCCTCTGCTGTGAGGTTGGAGGTCTGCATTAGGGCTCCTTTGTACTTCTGTGTGTGCCCAGCAGCCAAACACGTGCCCCCGGTTCCATGTGCTCTGTGCAGCTGCCAGGATCGCTGCCCATTCCACAGCACCTTCCCAGGGAAGCACAAATGTTATTTCACAGTTTGAATTTCTGGTTCACGGAAAAGAATTCTGAAGAAGTTCCTTTCAATTAGTACATCTATAAATAGGAGAGCAGGGAAAGTCTGTGCCTGTACACTACCCACCTCAACACTAGTTTTAGCTAACCAGATGATCGTGTGTATTTTGGGAGATGGTGTCTGGCACTTAAAGGATTAAAAGAAGCCGGAGATTTACAATAAGGACCTGACCTGTTTGATGTGTTATCTGTAGTGGAGGTGAATGGCACTGCTATTGACTTTGGAGTAACATCTGTGAGCTTTGGGGGTCTGCTTCAGTCCTACTTTACCAGCCACAGGAGATTCCTCCAGCCACGTTCTAACTAGAGGAGGTTTTAGAGTAACCAGACTGGTTTGGAGGGCTTGGCTGGCTCAAAGCATGGGCTGTGATGCTTCCTGCCATCGTGTCCTCTCTTTGCCAGTGCTTGCTGTCTTCCCTAAGCACACATTCAGGACTTGGAACATGGTGACCTTATTCCTGGGCGTGGTGCCAGGTGGATGGAGGGAGGCCAGCCCATGCTCATGAAGGGAATGTGGAACACGCGGCCTCGGTTGCCCAAGCAATTTCTGTTGGACACAGTGCCCAATCCAACCCTCACAAAGGCAATTTAGTGCCTGGGTAGGTGGTTCCTAATCTGTCTAATTTGCTGTCATGTAGCCAGTGTGAGCTAATTAGATGATTCAGCAATTGTCATGGCTCCCATTTAATGTGCTGTAAATGCTGCTGCCACAACTTTCTCTGCTGTTAAATACCTTTGCTTCTGTACTCTGTCCTCCTGCCCTGCCCTTCCTGATCACCTTTTGGTATCCCAGTAAATAGCTGATTCTCTCAAATGATGCAACTGTTACACAGAAGTGTCTAGATTCTTAAAAACTTTTAACCAGACTATGAAGCACTTCAAAGAAACTAGTTTTGCTACAAATATTTCAACTTATTCATGTGCCAGGGGACTATTTCTACTCATTTACAAAGATCTGAAAACTAGTCCAGGATCTCTGATCTCTGGAGACAAGGATTCTTTCTTTGAGAACACTTGCCTTCTAGTAGGAAAAAAAGATTTAAAGTGTGTCATACTCAATAGAAGACTGTGCCCTCAAGCCCCTGAAAGAACTTAATTGGGAAAAAGTGCACAAATCTAAAATTGAGGCTTTTTGCTTTCATTGAGCTACTGAGAATAATTTCCCTGACAACAAGTTCCTCAGATTATTAGGAAGTAGAAAATGCAGGAGGAGGTCCACGGAGATTTTTCAGCTAGTCTAGGAAAAAAAAATCTCCTATTTGTTGGCTGTTCAGCTATGGAACATCAAACTCTTGTCATTTCTTAATCTCCACAACAGCAATAAATGTGAGCAGCTTTAACGTGCCATCCCTGATCCAGTCCCAGCAATGCCCCAGGAGAGTGAGCCTGGCAGTCCCTGTCTGTTCAGTCACCAATTCCCTGAAATGAAGTGTCCCTTGCTTCATTTGTAATTCTGCATCTGCACTTCTGAGAGCCAGTCTAGAGGTGGGATTCCTGAACATCTCTCCAGATCTGTACAGATGAAGAGCAGGCAGACAAGACAGTACTTCAGTCTTTACTCAGACAAAATGGCAGGTTTCCCTCTCCACTTGTGCTTGGTGTGCCAAGATATGCTCACTCGGTATTAGAACTTCTCGCCTTTAGCTAAATTCTCAGTAGACAGCTGCCTGTTACTTAATCAAGGGAAAACTATGTCCCAGCTTCCCTGAGTTCCAAGTCACAGAAGCAGCTTACAAAAACAGCTCCTATTTCCGGTGGCTCTGGGAACAGCACAAGAACTCTGTGGCTGCAGATTCCTTTGGATACATGATGGGATGTGTAAACATGAAGTTCAGACTGTTGTTCTCAGTCGTGAAGCTGCCTAAGACCTCCCCTCTCTGGCATCAAAAGAATGAAAATGAGCTCTGTGCTGGGCTCACTGAGGAGCTCTGTTAGGAAGGACTGCTCTGTCTCAAAAAACAGTAACTCGGCTCCAGTGTTCAGCACACAGACCCTCTCGGGCTTCCTGCTGAATAATCTAGTGAAAAATGAGACACTTTATTGACTTGTTTAAAGCAAAGGGACAGTGTAGTTGAATCTGCTGTCTATACAACAGGAGACAGCTTGTCTAAGGGCTCATTGGGTTCATTCCACTCTCAGAGGAAATTCTGCTCAAGTCACTGTAGAGCAATTCATGGGAGAAACTGAATTCATGGGAGAAACTGGGCACAGAAGTCCTGGGCCTATGGACCATGGCAGCAGGTTCCCCTGCCCTTTCTTTGCAACACAAACCACATAAGCCAGTAGTGAAGTATTTGGCATTAAAAGAATTGTTACCATGAAGCTGTTTCATTACTTAACTCCAGAGTTATGTCTCCTTAGCTTTATTTGTGTCATCTAAATCCACACTTATTTATGTCCAGGTATCCTACAGCTCCTGACACATCTTCCTTCTTCCCATCCTGCTCACAATAATGGGACTGATTCACTTGTTGGTTTGTAACTGCCGTGTGAGATAACATAAAAGCACAAGTAGGACACATCTGCCTGTTCCTCTCTCCAGGGTCTCTTAGGAGAAAGGGTGCTCTTTCTGCCAGGCCTGTCTGATGCTGTGCAGGCAAGGCAGTGCTCCACTGTGAGTGGTAGGAGTTAGGTAAGAGAAAAGGTCATCACACAGTAAGATTTAAATAAAGTGGGGTTTTTCTCCAATTCCTGTGACTGCATGAAACATTCAGACCACGTGTTTTACCTTGATTTTTAAGAGGAGCTGAATGTCCAAAAGTGGTGTGTGGGGATGTGCAGTTCTAAAGCAGATCTCTGAATTTAGATGTTGTTTTATCTTGTATTTGGTGCCTTAACTCTGTACAATTTAAGGTCATATATACTATACCACAGGTAGTTTAGTAGTAATACTTGAAAAGAACCCATCAAGCCTAGTCTATAGAAACTCTTGCACAGACTGAAGCCTTCTCAGGGGGAGAGTACTCTTCCATGTTTAATTAATAATCTACCGATAAATTAGAGTTGTAAGAATGTAAGAGCATATAAAAATTTTAACCACAGAGACTGAATTTATCTGATTTCTAACTTCAAAGGTTTGGGGCAATAAGATAATTAAAGCTACAGTCTCTTCTATGCTGTGTAAGTAAACAGCATCAAAATGTTTTCTCACCAGCCTGAAGTGCATGTTTGTGAAAACCTCTGGACTGTTATCTCTACTAGAACAAATAACACTTAATTTTAAAAGGCATTAATTGAATGTAACTGGCTATCCTTCACTCATTAATACAGGGGAGCTGGAATGAGTAAGAGTCACAACTTATTTTTAACTGATTAAACTTCAGGCTCATTCCTGCCTCTTACCTGGATCTAGAAGCTCCAGCTGCCTTATGCTGCTCTGCAGTTCAGGAGGTGTAGTGCAGCTCCTGCTCGAACACAGCATTTCTGAACACTTCTGGTCCTGGCAGAATGCACTGCGGCGAGAGAGAGAGAAACACGGAAGTAGAGCGTCTTTCTCCAGTCTCAGGTAGAGCATCATAGATAGGAAGCTGGAGGGAAAGTTGCACTGCCTTTTCCAAGTCCATTAAGAGAGTCTGTGGTTTATGTCTGCTGTGGAAAACCAGCAGCTTTAGTGTTCTAAAAGCAGGGGCAGACGGTATTGCTTTTTCAATAGTTAGTAAGAAATAAGAGGTTTAAGCTATCCATACAGCTAAAAGCTGATAGTGATGTTGCTACAGGAGATTAATTTTTTTTTTCTGTTCAGAAATGAGTCCAGGATTGCAGGTTTTCCAGAGGAGGAACACGAGAAATCCAATCATCAAATTCTTTTTCTTGATGCAACCCTACCCAAAATAAGGAGGCAGCTGCAGGCAGTGTATAGAGCATGCAACTGAATTTTGGGAGGGAAAGGAATAATAGTAATTTCCCCCTAAAGGAATACTAGTTAGTTATTTCTAGAGTGCCCAGAGTATTCTAGACAAGCTGCCTTTACAAAAAGGAACAAGGCAACAAGGGAGAGCAGGCACTGCTCCCACAACTACCTGTTGTAATGTACCAGGTCACCAATACTGGTGTAACTAGTTATGACAAAGTAGGTTCATCTTACCAGCAAAACATATTTTGACATTCTATCCACTTCTATTTTTTTAAGCTAAAGGGGAGTTAATCATAGCACTCATCTGTTTCAAAGGGAGTAGAGCAGAAGGTAAGTTTTAACTTCATACTTCAAAGCTGCTATGAATAGATTAACAGTGTTCCATGGAAACAACCTGATATACTTCTTTATTTTCTTTGTGCTCCATTTCTGTGTTCTTGGAAAAGCACAAGCTTGTGTAAGCATAATCAATACAAAGTTACTCAGGGTACTGCATCATCCCAGCAGTGGACACTAACCACATCTTAAGTCAACAGGCACATATAAATCAAGCTTAATTAAGAGGAACAGGACATCTTGGCGAGTTTTGTTTTACTGCTGGCACTGCTACAATTTACTGATCTATGCATACCAAAATGTGTGTATTGCTGCACTCCCAACAGAACTGAGGGAGTTCTGTAAGGGCGTCCTGTAAACTCACAGTCAGTGTAGGAGAGGCAGTATTTATTCTTCTTTCATTATTTCCACAAAGAACTGTTTCTGAGCAGATGGAAAGTGATACTGCTCAAAGGAGAGTAATGGTGGGCTGGAGAACAGCATTCAGAGCAGTACAGCTTTTGAAGAGTTAGTGATCATATGAATTTAATTATGAAAATTCTGATTTGCTGTACAGATTATTTCCTGTGTTTTCAAATTCATATCACTGCTTCCCTGCTCAAAAATAACAGGATAAAGACAAGTGTAGTTTTCTAATAACATCTATCGCATGGAAATCCACATCCACTGGAGGAAAAGGGAGGCTGTACTGCAGAGAGCATGTTCAACTACAGAGCCATTCTCTGGGCAATGCTGCATAATTTAGGAGTGGGTAAACACGCCTTCAGGGACAACATGACACAGAGCAGATGGTTAAAACAAAAAAAGTCACAGAAAAAAGCCTCAAAGCTTTGTCCAGTCATACCTTCAGTGTTCCCTGCCAAAGGGACAGGTACGTTCACACGCGCTTAGTGAGTTACGTGTCAGGCATCACAAAGGTCCTTAAGGACAAACATTTTGGAGCCAGTCTCCTTTTGGACAGAAAAGGGAGGAAGTTGACTCTGTCTTCCAGTTCCAAGGTGCAGTGTCTTATTTCTAATCCTAACCCTAAGTCAATATTTATTGATCCAACTGACTAAGCTTTTTAGGCCGACCAGCTCTCTGCGAAGCAATTCTGTTCTCTTGAGCCTCTGCAGGGGCCAGTAACTGGTGCTTAACTACTGCTTCCACTGCGGAATGTCACCGTCCTCCAGCTGCCCCACAGCCAGGCTGGGACACTTGCACTTCTCAGAGAGCAACACTGCTGGGGTGGGGGCTCTCAAAAGCACTGAAGTACTACAGCAGAGCAAGTCCCAGTGGGCTGTGTGCTTTTTAAAGTCCTGTCTAGCTCTCAGTGACAAAGTTGAGCATGAAACCTGTGCTGCCAAATGTACCAGCCCCTTGCTGAGGAGGACATCGATGGGAAGCAGGCTTGGAAGTGGAGATTTTGAGGAAAGGCTGTCCTTTTCCAAATCCAGTCATAGGCTTTTTTTTTTTTAATGGTTGAGCTTCCACCCACCAAAAATCACCATCAATCAAATCAATTAAAATTGCTGCTAATTTGGGTTAAAATATCATCACCTTTGTATAACCCAAACCACCACCATCCATCCATCTAAATAATTCCTAAGCAAAGACTCCTCAGGAGGCAGAGCCCTTCTGACAGGAAATCTGGCAGTGCAGTATGATGTGACTTCTCTGATGACAATTCCTTCTCCAAGACAAGGAAAAGACAGAGGCAGTGCTTTGGGGCAGTGTTTCATGCTCAGCAAGTTTGTAGAGAGAGGGAATGCAATTCTATAAATCACTTGTACTGTATTTCTGTTTCTAGACTTGAATGAATTTCACTTTTCCTTTGTGGGTCAGCATAGTAAACGTTAAAGAAAAGATCTATTTTTCTAAATCTCTTTCACCAATAAAGGTCTGACCTGCAGCCAACAGATGGATTTATTTATCCATAGAGGATGGAGTGTTTATTTTTACACTAAGATTGGATATGGATTGAATACAAAGAAGTATGACCTTTAAACTATCTAAACCTTAAGTACTATGAATGAATTCCACAAATGAGTAATATGGTAGACAATTCAATCTTTCTTCCCAATAAATCTCTATCAAAAGAAGTTACCCAGAATTGAACTTCCAAATGAAGTACAAGAGATCCTTGTGGTCTAATTACAGACCACTTTGAAAATCCTTCAGTTTTCTCCCAATTTGTAATCAGTGAAGAACAATGATGACTGAACTATTCCTGACTATGATCTAAATAAAGAAATTTCAAATAAAGTAATTTGGCAACAACCGTAGCTATTTATAGCATTAAAAAAGTGATCTGAACATCCAAATCTTCTTAATTTGGAAGCAGTTGAGTGGGAAGAAAAATAACTGCACACTGAATTTTAAATTGAGCTGTCTCTACTCACTAGCCAAAAAAGCCTGCAAATGTCAAGGGAATGCTCTCTGTACATTCAGCTGCTTCCTCCCGTGCTGCTGTACCGTCCACTCGGCTTCATTTGGCTTCTGTGCCGTGGTTTGTACGCCACCACTGTTCCTGACTGTACACAACAGATCTGCACTGTAACCTCGGGTCATTTGCCACTGATTGTAACCCAGTGCTACAGACTTCTCTGTATAGAAACCAGAACCATGTCCCATTGCTTCCAATAGCTCCAATAAAGGCTTATCTCTGCAAACAGGAATCACGGCCTAATGATTGGGTTGGGGGTTTGGTTACAGAGAGGGAACTGGCTTTAAGGGATTTCTGAAGCCTGGGAAGCCAAACCACAGAGGTCCATGAACCTGAGTCTGAGTCAGGTAACAGGCTCAGCAGAAAGGGGAGACAGGCTCCTGAAGGCTGCAGTGTTAGCAGAGATGGAGATGTAAACAGAAGGCACATTTATGCTGGACCAAGCAGAATGCATTCCTTCACAGAGGTGAGAGTGAACAGAGCACACAGGACTGCAACTGTGCAAGGGCTGCTGCACACAACTACCTCTGGGGTTTGCCTTGGAAGCAGTTACAGAAAAGCCCAGAGAAAACTGTGATGAGATTAGCCAGGAAGGGAAAAAACCTGGGCAATTCCTAGTATTTAGCTAATCAGAAACACCGGATGTCTATTTTCTAAAAAGATGAACTCCCTGTACAAAGAACAAGTAAGGTTCTCTCAAACTTTTTTCTTATCCTGGAATATACAAAGTATGTCCAAGTGTCTAGAGTTACAAAACCCAGTTTTAGTCTTGAAGGGAAGCTAGAGAAGACATTTAACATATACTCTTACTGTTCTTAGAAGTGTATTTTCCAGTCTTGAAATGCTGAATTAAAGTCTGAGTGCAGAGGTCATTAATAAAATTTAGAAGAGATCAAACTTAAGGATTAAAAAGTGTTGTAAGCTGACTATAACAGAGAATGCTTTTAATAAAATGAGATGTCTGAAATCCCACAGCTCAGGGACTGGCCCAGGACTTGGTGTGAGACTCTCCCTCGACAGGACAGTGTGCAGCCAGCCCAGTCTGCTGGTGTGCTGCAAACAAGTCAGTTATGCACAGAGAACTGAGACCAACACATCTCTTAAAATTCAGAGCTGTATCAAATATTTAGCAAGTAAGATCCACAAAGAATTGAACAGGCAGTTAAAAAAACATCATTAACACTTGGCTGAAACTGAAGTTTTACCTTCTGTATCAGCATAATGCCAACCTATGCACATGCCTACTGTCAGCTGGTTTACCAAGAGGCCATTCCGAAAGCTCCCTTGGGATTATCATCTCGGAGGTGCTGAGAAGGCCAACAGCTCTTCAGCAGCAGCCTGGCAACTGCTGGTCAGTGGAACGAGCTGGGCCCACTCCAGGAGCTGGCGGGCATTCTGTGGCCTGGCAGGAATGGAAGAGGGGCTGACAAGGGAGTGATGCCCAGGAGTCACACAATACTGGGGCTGGATTGATAAAGGAGGTTGGCACATCCTTCTTTGTTCACTGTGAAAATGCCTGACATCTCCCACAGCTTTACTCCTGCCCTGCTGTAGCTAAGCTCAGTTTGCCCAGGCAGTGACAGGGTGTCTTGCTTGGGAGAACAGGGAAACTGTGAGCTGTGGCCCCTTGACCTCCCCTCACCCCTCCAAACCAACATATACCCACGTCCATCTACTTTCTCTGGGTAACCTGCAGTGCCTCTCACTAGGAATCTGCACGTGAATGCACACAGTG